AACTGAGTGGTATAATTTTCAAATATGCTTATTTGTAATGTGTGACCCAAAAAAGAGAGCTTATTTGTAATGAAATTCAGAATTGAAACTTGGACATTATTAGCAAACAAAATGGTAGTCCGATGAATGATAATAAACGATAATTTATGCGAAAAAATAGTAATTTTAACAGGAGATAGACATTTTGATTCATTTCTTTAGTTCATATTCGGTTCAAAATTACAATTAAACTCTATTTGGAGTTTTATCCGGTTCGGTTCACTTTGATTTTTGGTTAAATCATGACACAGAAAGAGAACCTCTGCTTGTTTTTTTCATGGTCAGAATCAAACATGGCTACTACAAGACGAAAAGCTTAAATTCAAGCTAAAGACGACAAAAGTAAACTATTACTTTGTCTGATTCTAATCGGTTTAGTCACAAGCCCCGTTAGCGGCGGCGAACTGTTCGGCTTGCCGGCGAGCCGCCGGCTCAGAGATCATGGCCTGAATAAGCATCGTCTTCACTTCCCATGGCGCATAAGAAAAACTTCTTCTCGCGTAAGAATTTAGCAGAGCTGCGATCCCCTGCTTCAACAGTGCACCGTACGCGTTTCCTTCTTCGTCATTCCTAGCCGTTGATTCCACCAGAGTCAGATCAGATCTCCACCGCTCATTCGCCACCATCACTCCGAACATTTTCTCCACCGTTGATCTCTCCGGCACCATCCTCGGCCATGATTCCCTCCTGCTGCTCCAATACCTGAAACAAAACAAAAATATTCGACCGAGTCAGATCTGACTCAGCTAAAAGAAATCCCGAGTCGCTACCTCGGATCCAAATTTTCAAATTCAGGAGGAGAATAATTACTGCGGCGTGCATCTTCCTCTTTGTCTAGTGTAGAACAAACCAGGTCTCGTCGCCAATGAATCGCCGGCGAAGAAGCAGAGGAGGAAGAAGGTGATTAGAACGAGTCGACTCGGAGAACAATGTGAGTCCATGGATTCGGCCAAACACAGCATTAATCAGCTCCCTTTGTGTTGGGTCTTGGTCTTCTTCGACCTGTTCTTTGTTTAAGTCGTTATCGAGAATCTGAGTTTGCTTCAGACATCGGTCACTTTAACTTTGTCTACTGCTACCTCGGAAACAGAGACATACTTTGACTTTTTTGCCCCTCCCAATTCAAATTAAAGAGACATTCGTAATATAATCACGGGGATATAAACGTCTTTAAGAAAGAAACGAACATGAGGAGGTGGTGTGTTTCAATCGCTACTTTTGGCCATTTGCATGTAGTCAGTCTTCACGTGCGAATATTTTTAAACAATTACTATCACGTTAAATGTTTTTTTTTTTAAATTGGATTTGCTTTAGTAGATAAGAGTTGACCTAAAAATTTACAAAATAAAAAGCACTAAATTTTAAGTTACAGCCTAATTATATCCCTTATGAACTGGGATTGACCTTTGATACACAAGAACAAGATATAGGATTTTGATCCTTGATACACAAGATATCTAATATAATATTTTAAGGTTTCTCAAAACCAAAGTTATGAAAAGTTGTCATGTATCATCTAATTTTTTTACTTTTGATTTTTTAATTTATTTATTAAAAAAAATGAAAATTAAATTCTCTTAATAATTTTATCAATTAGTTGTAATAATTTAATAGATAATTCTTATGCAAATTAATTCCAACAAATTACATTTAAGTGTCTTATYSASATTTATGTAATTCT